TCGGTTCTTTGTTTCTATTTCTATGTGAGTTCTGAAAAATCAAATTCAGGTTACCAGGATTGCACATCGAACACCTTCACCTGCTAAGCCATCCGATTTTGAAGATTTTTACATCAATGCTTATCATGAGATATTCTTCTAGTATTTTTTTTTGTTGTTTTTTAATTTGGGCTTTGTTTCAGTGTGATGCTGGCTTTTCAAGTTAGTAAGTTCTCTCTACTCTTCAATTTTTCATAAAAGCTTAAGAAATAACATCCTTCAAAGCCATAGAAACCCTGTCTCGAACCCTGCCCCCCCCCAAAAAAAGTTTAAGAAATACTGGCATGCCAGGTGGTGGTGGCGCATGCCTTTAATCCTAGCACTTGGGAGGCAGAGGCAGGAGGATTTCAGTGAGTTCCAGGCCAGCCTGGTCTACAGAGTGAGTTCCAGGACAGCCTGTAGGTCCAGGGTTTTGCCTGGAGAGTTAAGCAATCGATTTAATGTGCTTGCAGATATATGTATATGTATATGTATATGTATATGTATATGTATATGTATATGTATATGTATATGTATATGTATATGTATATGTATATGTATATGTATATGTATATGTATATGTATATGTATATGTATATGTATATGTATATGTATATGTATATGTATATGTATATGTATATGTATATGTATATGTATATATATATGTATATGTATAACTTAGTCTTGATGGTCTTTGTGTGTAGCTCATCCAGTTTACCTCATTTGTTGATACACATTTATTCTGTTTTACAATCCCTTTTATTTTTGGAGGATCAATAGTAATGTCTCCATATTCGCTCCTGATTTTAGTAATTTCAGTTTTCTTAGTCCATTACAGGTTTATCAGTCTGGTTAAATCCTGTCAAGGAACCAGCTATGGGTTTCACCGAACTTTAGCAGTTTCTCATTCTCTGTTGCATGCCTGGATGCTCTAATCCTGTCTTCTCTCGTAAACATTGTCAGCAACCAATTCCTCACTAAGCTCATCAGTTTTCCGTTACTGTTGTTGTTCATTTGCCTTTGTCATTGCTGGTTTACAAGGCAGAGTTGGGGTCACAAGGATTAAAAGAAGAACTGCTCAGAATGAAGCTGCTTGCTGCTAGCAGGACTCACGTGATAGATAGCAAGCTTGGCTGCTCCTCCATCAAGGACAGAAGCTGGCTAATTGACTACGCTGCTCTTTGTTCTGCTTTGCCTCTAGTCTGTATATAAGCAGGTTCTAAATTAAACTGGGGGCTGTCCCTTGTGCTGAAAGGCATGAATTGGGCAGTCCTGTGTTTCTGTCTGTTTCTTTTATCTGCCATTTCTCAATCCTTATGCCCCTACTCAGATAACCTAACTGACTCGTTGGAGCAGCCAGTGACTTGGAGCCACCTCTGCAGTTTCCATCTGTGCATATTAATGTATGCTTACACGTGAAAGCCGGAAAACGATGTCTCACTGCACCTACTCCTTTGAGTCAGGGTCTCTCCTTGACCCCAGGGCACATGTTTTCTCAGTCAGACTGGAAGCCAGTTATCTCCAGTCACCCTGTCTCCATCTTCCCTGGGAGCTGAGGTTATAGGCATTTGTGTGACCCGTGGCTTGTTATACAGGCACTAGAACACAAACTCTGGCTCCTCATGATGGCACAGGAAGTGCTCTTAGCCATCAAGCCACCTCCTCAGCCTCAGCATTACTTCTACTGAGTAGAAGCTCAGTAACTGAGTAGTTAAGATCTCTGGCTTCTGATGGAATCAGGGTCAGATCCGAGACATCACCTGGGGTAATACCCTCAGCTGCGATCTTGGGCCAATCCCTGGACCTCTTACCTGCCTCTCCAGCAGAACACATCATTGCTAGAAGGATTAACTAAGGACAGATATTCAGAGCAGAAGCCCACAAATGGCTCTCCTATCTGTCTGCTTCCACCAACCTCCAAAGCAGCTCTTTGCACTCGTGGATGAGCAATGAGAGGCTTCCAGAGGCCAGAGAAAATTCTGCTCCCCTCCTTCAGGCTTCTATCAAGTGAAAGGCACCTTGGCTAACAGGGGACCAAAAGGGTCTGCATCACATACTTCATTACTGCTGGGGCATCACTCTTTCTCTGTGGGCCACAGTCCTGTCACCTCTTCCTGTCTCCTTCTGTTCAAAGATACTTACAAAAATTTTAATTGTGTACATATGAGCGCATGCACACGTGTACACACACACACACACACACACACACACACACACACACACACACACACACACCCACCCTGTGGAGGCCAGCTGGATCCCAGGGAGCTGGAGTTACTGACATGGGTGCTGAGGACTAAACTCTGGTTCTTGGCAAGAACAGGATGTGTTCTTAATTAACCACTGAGCCTTCACTTCAGCCCTGAGACACCTGTTCTGAGGTCTAGGCATAATCAAAATCAATCAATCAATCAATCAATCAATCAATCAATCAATCTCTCTCTTTCCTGTCTCTCCCTCTCTCTATCGCCCTCCACCACTCAGGATAGGGTCTCATGTAGCCTCGGCTGGCCTGGAACTTGCTATCTAGCTAAGGATGACCTTGAACTCCGGATTCGCCAGCCTCCAAACCCAGTTAGGAAGGAACTCCTTAACTCCTGAAAGGGGTTCAGACCCCTGTGCCCCTCATTCCTGCCCACCTATGCCATCTACCCACATGGTCCCCAACAGTCATATAGACCAGTCAAAACAAACACGAGCCCCAGAAGACGACCTTGGTAAAACTTTATTCACAAACTCCAGACCCCTAGGCCTGGCTCAGCCAGAGGGTACATTCTTAGCAGTGGCAAAAACCCAATACAATATAACACGCTCGTCAAGACTAACCATTTTAATTTAAATTAAAGCATTTCTGGAAGACAAATGCAATTGATAGAAAATATAAAAACTTTTACTGTACAAATTTTACATCACATTAAAATAAGCAAATAAAAGTGTGCCTTGTGGCCACAGAAGACACTGGGAGTGCACACAGATGACACCCTGGCTAGCACTGCAGCATAGCAATGCTATTTCACCGGACTCTGTCACTACAGAGCAACACGGGCTTGCCACTCCTTGCCTGGACCACAAGAAGACAATGGCCAAGGGCTCTGATTGGTGCATAGGAGCGACCAGGTCAGCACTAGCTAGGATTCATGACTTCGCCGCCACTCTGATGGGTAAAAGCCTCCTTGGAGGTGAGGCTGGGAACCCAGGGTGCCTGGAAAAGGGCCAAAGTTTTTGCTGGCCTCAGACCTTAGGTGGGTAGGACCTCTGTAGCTCAAGCCTTTTTCATTGCCTTCACAGTGGCTATGGGGGCTGAATTCACAGTATCTGTTGTCCTTCATGTGTTTCCCAGGAGACAAGGACAGCACAGAGGAGGCAAACTTTCCTAACCTCAATTCACAGTCACTTAAGTCGAAAAGGAAGCAGGTGCCATGATGGGGACTCTCTTAAATGAACGGTAGTACAGGGGAAGGCCTTGGAGGGGACATGTGTCGGCTCCCAGCACTATAGCTCCACCCTTGGAGCCAAGTGGCAATCTCGGGTTCCCTGCATATTGGCCCCCAGCAGATGGTCAGCTCCTTAAGGCAGGGGCCATGACTATTCCTATCTGGTCCCCAGCACAAGACCACATTCACTTCAGGGCTCAAAGCTCTCTGCACTGAGATGTTCACAGCACACAGAGAGATCCTGGCTCGCTGTCAGTGGGCTGTGTGTCTTGCTGTCTGTGGCTTGGCGCTGAGGGATGACTGAAAGGGTTGACTCAGAAGCCAGCCTGATGGCTCATGTTCTACCTGTGAGAGGAGGCCAACGTCACAACACTCACAAAGTCAAAGAATGGCCAGAGGCTCAGGCATTGTGGCCTCTGGGACTTGAGACGGCCACAGAGGCAGCAGCTATACACTCAGTGGTGTTTGGAGTGGGGAGGTCACACCAAGGGCTAGGGTAGAAAGCCAAAGGAATGGGGAAGTGACATGACGGTCCCATTTCAGAGGACAGAGCTGAACAGGGGCTCACAGCTCTTCCTCCTTCCCTCCCCCACACTGGGGGGCAGGTTCAACATGCTACCATCCCAGCTCTCCTGTAGCATGAACAACTGTGCTGGGGGTTGGGGTGGGGTGTGGGGAGAATCCTACAGCTTCTCAGAGAATAGCCTGTTACACCGGACACCTGGGCTGGACTCTGGTGCTAGGACACACTCTGAGAACTGAGGCTTTAGTTGGTGTTTAACTAAGAGAGAGACTCCACAGAGGGACTGTAAGCCTACGGCCCAAATCTAACTGCTTCTCCACTCCCATTTTGTTCTCGTTCTGGCTGTGGAGTCTGATGCTGCACAGCCTATGTAGGTGGCAGTTTCTGTGGAGCACCTGTGACTTGCCCCAATCCAGCCCCTCCTGCTTGCCGGAATGAACACAGAAGTAGGGACCTACTAGGTGCGTTTCGCTGAAGTATCTGGACAGCCTCACGCCCTCATCTGAGCTCAGGGCACACACAGGGGTCAGAATGGGCTAAAAGGCTGCAGTGAGACTGGGGAAGTGAAAGTGGTGGGAAGTCTAGAATCTTCTGGCACGACACAGACATGAGTTTTAAAGTGCTAGGGTCATCACAGGCTGTATTTGCTACCTTCCCTATTCTCATCAACCAAGAACTCACTGTGCACGCAGCTGATGGGCTAGCTCTTGGCTCTGGGGGTTGACATGATGTGTGTGATGGCAGAGGCTGAGCTCCACAGCCTTCATGCCTGCCTGGAGTCCTCAGGGAAGCAGCAGATGTCTCCACAGATGTGTGGCTGTCTCCTCCCCCTGCGGGAGAAGCCGGGCTAAGATCCACCACATCCATCTAGAAGCCACTTGGATTCGGTCTGTACTTTTTAGTACAACAAGCCCAGATCAGAGCAGAAATGGAACCCAAACTCTTCAGGAAGTCCTGACCATAATCCAGATGGGCTCCTAGCCAGGGTTTCCCCTGCAAGCTAAGGAAGGAAGGGTTGGTGTTCCTTACACGACAGAGAGACCAGTGGGGGGTCAGGGCCAAAGCATAGGCCAGGGCAATGTTCTCTTTTCCCAGAAGAGCCATTTGGGCAGCTTTTCCTACTTCTCGCTCAACCCTGGGCCCCTCACTGCTGCCGGGTCTTAGAGAAGGGGATGTGGGGGGCATTTCTGTTGCTCTGAAGTGCCAGCACCCTATTGCAGAGCTGTTATTAACTGCTGTAAAACACCAAGCCTGCGGGGCAGAAACCTCTGTGTAAACACTGGCTGTAGTGGTGTCATCTGGAGTGACATGTATGGCTCCGATCCTGAGCCCCACACACCTCTGTAACACACTCTTCAGGGAGGAGTGATACTCCTCCTGGTCTGTAGCTCGCCACGCAGGACTTCTCTGATTCCTCCTGGTGATAGTTTGCGTGTTTCATAATCATGTTTCAGAAAGGAAGACGCCTCTGCACGAACGTGCATGGCCGGCTACATCTTGGGATTACTGGGCTCCAGGGCCCCCAGGCCAAACCTTTCAAAGCGGGGCATGACTTTGCTGTTGTTAATGCTGCGGAGAGGAGCAGAGACATGTGTTATGGCTCTGCTGGTTTTGGCCAGAGTTAAGGAGTCACTGGCTATGCTTAGCAGAGGATCTGAGTAAGGACAAGTGCTCGGTCCATAACCTTGGCAGAGCTGCTCCTGGTCACCCTAAGTCCTGGGCCTGGGCCACATTCCCTACCTGGTGGGGATAAGGGAAAACAGTGACATGGCTTGTTCAGGTGCCTTTCCAGTACCCAGCATGGCAGAACCGTTGTGGGCTCATGGAGGCTGTTTCCTCACTGGCTGCTCCATGTGGATATGGAACTGGTGAGAGAACCGAGGACCTGGACCAGGGCTGATGTCACATGTTCCTTTTAGAAATAGTGTCACGTGGGGGCCACTGGGGCCACTATGGAGCAGAATCCTGAGCCCAACTGTACAGCTCTGCCTCCATCACTGAGTGACAGATATCACTTTGTTTACGACATTTCTGAGTGTGGCTCCTAAGGACCCGGCCCTTTTGAGTTGATGCCTTTCACAGCAACACGGTGTGTGTGTGTGTGTGTGTGTGTGTGTGTGTGTGTGTGTGTGTGTGTGTACATGCCTACTGTCCTTTGTCTTCACGAGATAGACAGAGGACTCCAGACAGAGCTCACGACTCAGTGCTAGCTCTGGACAGTTCTGAACCACTATACCCCTTGCAGGACAATGTCTCAGGGTCGCTAAGCCCCTCCCCATCCTCTGAGCATGCTCAGCAGGGGCTCATTAAGGTGTTAGTAGGAGCTAGGAACCAGAGGAACACAAGCAAGAGCCAATCTTGGGAGAACGAGAGAGAAAAAGACCGTCTCATCATCCATGAAGGCAGCTGAAAGCTGTTCTTCTGCCTCAAGGGGTTACTCTGTTAGTGCCATCCTCTCCTGGCAGTGACTCAAGTCAGGTACCCACAGGCCATGTGGAGGGGAGGGGCCGTTGTTAAAAACAGAGCACAGGAAGGAGTCTGCAGGGAGGAGAGACTGGAGCAGCAGAGACGGCATCCCCTGGGTTAGTGCCTGCTGGCGTTTGAGTCTTGGCAGAAGTCACGGAGCAGAGCTGGCCATTAGGAGGAAGGAAGCCCTGGGACATGCAAGACAGCCAGACCTACAACCTACAGACAGAGAGAGAGACATGTCAAAAAACAAGCCTCAAGGAGCCAGGGCACAGCGCCTGGCCAGAGCAGCTGCCCAGGGACACAGTTGCCGGCAGAGACTAGGATCCCCAACTCCACCCCTCAGAATGGCAGGCAGTAGGGCAAGTCTGTCAGTTGGTGTGGGCACAAGGGAGGGTTTCTGAGTCCCCACAGGGCAGTTCCAGGCAACCCTCAGTTCATTAAGCCCACAGGTCCTACAGATGATCACTTCTGCTCACTTGAGTCCTTCCCTCCCCCTCTTTACTTATTATGACTATTACTAGCATTTGCTGGGGCCCAAACCCCAGCCTCATATATGCTGAGCAAGAGTTCTACCATGGAGTCTCACTATATAGACCAGGCTGGCCTTGAACTTACAGAGATCTACCTGCCTCTGCAACTGGGATTTAAAGGGAGGTGTGTGTCACCATGCCCAGCTGCCATTGGTGCTTTTATTTCTGAGATTTCACTATGTATCCCAAGCTGGACTCAAACTTAAAATCCCCCTGCCTCAGCCTCCTGGATGCTGGGATAACAGGCATATGCTACCACAACTGGCTCATGGGATTCTCCTCCTCTGAGGTTCAGCCAGAAGTGGGAATTGGGGGACTTGGCTCAATGAGATCATTCTCCCTCACCCACATGATAGCCCATGTGGTGTGGAGAGGGGTCCTGCCTGCCAAATCCCTTTATGAGGAACACTAGCCCAGTGGCCTTTGCTGGTGGCCATTTCAGCTGCAAGAGGTCACTGTGGGTTACGGGATGAAAGCACAGACGTGAGAAGCTGGCATGCAGAGAGAACGGGAAAGGTAGGTATGCAGCAGGACAGACACACACACACAGGCAGGAGATGAGACAAGTGATAGGAACACACTATTCCTCCAGAACCGGACAGGAGCTCTTAAAGTCACAGCGTCCTTTCCCGTAGTAGCGGCTCCGCCCGCGGCTGGGGGGGCCCCAGACCATTTTACCAGCAGGTTAAGAGAGCCGTCCGATCCGGTCCAGCCAGTCAGCCGGGCGGTGATAGCAGCCAGCAGCCAGGTGGAAGAGTCAGGGTGATGAGGCAGGGAGATGACAAGACAGGACTGCCCCTCCCCCACCCCCCCCGAAAAGAAAAAGTGACAAAGCCAATGGGAAAGAAGAGAGGAAGTGAGAATTAGAGACCCCGTGTCTAGGGAAGCAGAGACCAAGGACAGAAAGCTCATCCTGGCTGTCATGGAAGCCTGGGAGCTGGTAGCTGTGGGCTGGTAACAGCCCCTGCAAGTGGACTCAGTTTCCCAACTGTGAGATGAGATGATGGGGCTGATTATTCAGGGAACAGGGGTCATCTTTGAATGCCACTGCCTGCCTGGTACAGGCATGGTTTGGTGGAAGAGGAAGCCTGTATTCAGAGAGCCCATATCCAAAGCAGCACGGGGTTCAGCCTTGAGGCCCCGTCACCCTTCCCCCACTGTCAATGCCAGTGCCTCACCTGCCAAGCCTACAGGATTTGCCTGATTCTTCTTGGCAAATTTTCTTACCTAAGTCCCACTGTGGAAACTGAGGCAAGTGACCAGGCCCAATAGCCTGACAAAGGGGTGTGGCTAGAGAGGGGCCTTTGGGGGAGGAAGCCAGAGAGCCAGAGTAGAAACAGAACAGGACAAAATACAGGGGAAATGACAGTGGCCCCTGCTGCTCTGTGCCTCAGGACACAAAGGACCATGAGGGGAAAGGCTTCTGACACAAGCACTACATAGTGAGCGGCATGGCCCATTAAGAGACAGCAAGATGTCAGGGTTTAACAGCTCAGTGACTATGTGGGAAGCAGCCTAAGCAACACTGATGCTGCTTGTTAGGGGCCGTTTTGATACCCACATGGTCCTGACCTCTGACCCTTTCTCCTCTCAGGCACTACTTTCTCACACTGGTCTAGCCTGGGCTTGGTGTCAGTGATGACGTAATACAGTGATGTGTAGATTCCCATAGGTGGAAACTGGAGGTGTTCACCCGTTAAGGGTGCCTCCACCTCTCTGTCCTGTGGAAGCCCCAGAGCACAGTCTGATGCAAGTCCAGCAGAGGGCGCCCTTAAACACTCTAGACAGAGGATCTCCAGGCTCTGATGGGCAGGTCTGGCTTACAGAGGGAGTACTTACTCAGCCGACTTCCAAAAGTG